TTCTCTGCTCTGTGCTGGGGATGGAGCTGGAAGCGCTGCGCTCTATCTACGAGGGAGATGCGTGCTTCAGGGAGCTCAGCCCGGTCTCCTTCCAGTACCGGGTAAGGCAAGGTGAAGGCCTGCGAGCTGCTGCAGCGCAGGGTTCGCCTTGAAGTCACTCCGCGGCGTTGTAGTTCGACATAGCAGGCTTTTTTTCTAAAACAAATTGGGTATTCAGTGGGCAGTAGTGGCTAGACCCGTAGGCCGTTGTTTCAGGATCTTTGGTACGGTGGTGCTTGACGGCACAACGTGTAATATTTAGGAACCTGCTCCCAGCGCAGGTTTATTAGCCCTTAGTCTATGTACTGCATAGCTGGAACTGTTGAACTGGCTGAAGGAGCCAGCATGCTGAGTAACACTTAAACTAGCTGGTCAGAAATGTCACTTATGGAGATATTTATATGCAAAGCTTTGCACCTTCCCTGTTGCTCAGTTACAAGGTTCTAGTCTCTTGTCCAGAGGTAGCTGACATGCCTTGTCTTCCAGCTAAAGAGAAAATCCACAAAATGCGTTGGGCACGTGCACTGGTACAGTCTGCTCAGGAGAAACATATGCGGAGTGCTGAGCTTGAGATATGCAATTAGATTGTGGCGTGAAATTCTTGCCAGCTTTCTCAAATTTAACGACCTGGAAGTTCTTCTGGGCATGGACCGAGGCAGATCTTTTGTCGGCCAGAGAACTTTACTAATGAATACTTAGGCACCCACAGGACGGGAGGGAGACTTCTGAAAACGCCATATCCCTGTAGTGGGGAGAAGGCATTTAGAAAACCTTTTCGTGACTTCTGAAGTAACTTCAGGATACTTCAGTAATTGCAATGAGTTAAGTCGATTTAGTTGATAGCACTTGAATCCCATCCATGTAAGTGCAGCCTTCCTTCACTGATAGGACTGTTCTTAGCAAATTTAATTTCCTTAAAATAGTAAATGTGACATGCCTACAGGTCTACAATGTATCATTCTAGATTTTACTAGCTTTGGTTGTTGCTATTAGATGAAAAATAATTGTCAAAATTTAGAACTTGATTTAAAAACTGTAAAGCTTTGTGTCAATGTCAGACAAAGGCAATCATGCATTTTTCCCATGAAGAAGAATTTGTACTGCAAGAAGGCACATTGAGCATTAAGTGCATGAGAAGGTTGAAAGAATTAGTATGCCATTTTTCTGGGCCTCATTTGTCTTGCACATGCCTTGCATACAAAACACAGCTGTTTTGTAATCAAGTAATTTAGGTTGCACTGGCAAGGAGGAGCATGGTCACGCAGCTTTCTGCATGGATTTGCTCAGTGTGCAGACAGTGCTTTCCTGAGAGAAGAACTCTGTAAACTATACCACTGGTTCTCGTCTTGGCAGCGGTGGGAACTGGACTGCAACACTGTAGGTGATGTCTTGATAAATGTTGCAGATTCACAGATTGTGTATTTTTTTATTATTTCTTTATTTCACCTCAACCAGTTGTTTCTGAATGTCAGTTAGTCCACTCTGCTGAAACAGACACGATAAATAAAAAAGCACAACTCCTTGTTTTCCTTTTTCCTTTTTCCTTTTTCCTTTTTCCTTTTTCCTTTTTCCTTTTTCCTTTTTCCTTTTTCCTTTTTCCTTTTTCCTTTTTCCTTTTTCCTTTTTTTTCCTTTTTCCTACAGTAGCTTTACCTTGAATAGGACTTTTTTTTTCTGGCTACACTTCATTCCACATAATCTGATGAATCCAGAATTCTCAGATAGTTTCAGAATATGGATTTAACCAACTTCGTTGCACTAGTCTTCCAAATCCTTGTGTGAAACAGTTATTTCTGTTTGTATAGTATGCCTTTGGTAGCACCTGTACTAGTTCAAATTAAAAAAAAAAAAAAGGGTTTTTTTTTGTGTAATTTAACATAATTGTAAGGATTGTGTATGTTGTTTGGGTTCACTAAATTGGTTTGATGCACATGATTATTTATATTAAAGTGCGCCTCTTTCTAATGTTACGATTTTTTTAATCCAGTCTTATTCTACTGACTTCTTAAATCTTTTACTACTCACTCTGATAGTGAAATAAAGTATCTCTAGGGATGAGAGTTAGATATTGAAATTCTTACCTATTTAGCTATTTTGGGTGACTAGTTTATAGTTGTCTTTATTTCAAGGCTGTCTTGTGGTTTGTTTTCATATTGCTCTGAGCTTGGATGCGTGGGGGGGAAGGCGGCTTCATCTTTTCTGTTCTGATTGTATAATATTTGACTTGCAGATGCTACAAAGTAGCTTTTAAAACCAAGTGATTAAAAAAAAAACATAAAGAGAGCTTGGAATGTTTCTGATGCTTTTCCTAGGATGACAACCGCAAGGTAGAGATAAATATTGATGTCCTAAATTTAATACTTTTTCTAGATAACAGCTTTATTTTCTAACTGATGACTTCCTGAAAATAGCTGTTATCATAAGGAATTTGGATAGTCTTGAAGAAGTGAAAGACTTGCATATTGGCATTGTAATCCTTAATATGTAATTGGAAACTGTTGATTATAAAGTTTTTCTTTTCCCTTCAGATAGGTGAAAGTGGAGATCCCAAAGCCTTTCTAATAGAAGTTTCTTGGCCAGAAACGTATCCACAGACAGCACCAGTCATATCGATGGATGCTTTCTTCAACAACACAATGCAAGTATTTACAACAGCGTCCCTTCCTAGCCTTGTAAGTGGGGGCTTTTTGGTTGACAAGCTTTTCTCCATCTGTCTAGATTACAGTTGAGTTTTATGGTTTCTTTTAGATCTTCAGCTATTAAACAAAGTATTTTGGATAAGTTAATGGTAGAAGTTGAAGCAAATCTTGGAACTGCTATGACATACACACTTTTTGAATATGCCAAAGATAACAAAGAGTTGTTCATGGAAAATCAGCCTGTTAACACTGTGGTAAGTAGATAAATTCAGATTTTAATCTCTTGCTTTTAAAACTGAAAAGAATGGTCATTACAACTCTAAATACTTCATAGCTCTGTCTTTAAGTTTTTAATCAATATATTGGGTATACACATGTTAGTGGCTAAACAGTGACACACAGTGTATGGTGCCATAATGCTCTGTGGTTTTAATTGTTCTATTTAACTGTTATTTCGCTGTTACACCAAAATGTTTGTGGGTTGCAGTTCTGTCCCACAGAGTAACATAAAAGTGGAGACTTGGAGCAGAAGCAAAACTAAAGAGAGCTGAAATGAAGATTAAAGGCATCTGCTCTGGGGTGGGGGCAAATTTCTGTAACCTTCCTGGGATGCAATGGATTGCATAAGTGCATCTCCAGGGTCTTGAATGAGGTCAGGCTGGGTCTATTTGTGGCTTCTGTGTTGTGTAAGGACATTATTGGCCATTGTGGTGCTGCAGATTTGCTTTGAGGAGGAAGGAATGGTTTCCATGTTTGGGAAGTCTGAATCCCTTCAGACTAAATCATACTCTGTGATTAAATTTAAAAAGTGTAAGAGGTGCCCTTTACAAGTCTGGAATGGAGTAATTCTGATCCCCAACACATGGTTCTTAAAACTACAATCATGATTATATGTTGATTAAAAGCTGCAGACTGCTGACAGCATTGCTTCCTTCTGACAGTCAAGATATTTCAGTATGTCAGGTTCAGTAATCACGCACAGAGCTATCTGTGGAACTAATACGCAGAATATTAACAACCATTTTTATCCTTGTCAGACTTCAGTAAGCAATAGTATTGCAATTGGAACTCCTGATGTGCCAGCAAGTAAGAAAAAAGATAAAAAGGAGCAGTTATCCAAAACCCAGAAACGAAAACTAGCTGATAAAACAGGTTTGTTCACTGTAATACTGTTTTTTTTGAGCAGTATAAGAATCCAAATTTTATAGCAGTGACATCTTGCTAAAGTCAGAATCAGCAGTCATTTGTTTATAAGATGAACAACTTTAAGTCTGTGGTCTCTGTTTTGCTTGTTTTAGATGAATTATTCTTGCCTGAGATGTTAGTTCTGGTCAAAGCAACTTTCTAGAGAGTGGGGATTTCAAGATGTCATTGGTTTTGTTTTATTTTCTTATTTGAGTTTGTGACAAAAGTGACATTTTCAAAAAATACTCATGGGAGGAGAGCATTTGGGTCTTCTAAAAATTCACTTTCAACAAAATATGTAGTTTGTTGATGGGCCCTTGTAAATAATTCACATTATTAATAATGTAATTTCTAAATGAAAGTATTTGGTTTGGAACCCCAAATAAAACATTTAACATAGTTTGTATCCTCAAAATAGAGGTGTTTCTGCAGGTGCTTTATGCTTTCAGTGAAATGGTTAGGTTTTTGATTGAAAAGCGTTCAGTATTTCAGGTAATCCTGCTGATGACTTTTACATGTTCAATCTTAATTTTTAATAATGACCTGGATAATACTATCCTATTGCAGTAATAAGTTGTACCCTCTGATAGCAATTTCTGCATATAATTTACCTAACCTCATGGATAATTGGCATATTAAGTGCTGGCCATGTAAAGGAAAAGCTGCGTAAAATTTTGTTCTTTGACAAAATGCATCATTGCTGGTCAGCCCAGCTCATGCTGGAGTTGCCTTCTAAATTAAATGTCAGGTGGACTGAGGTGGTTTTATGTAAACAGAATTACTTTGAAGAACAAGATGTGTTTAAGGCATTAAAATCTATTTTGTCCTCATGGTTTGTAGTGGAGAAATGAGGGGGTTTGGATCTTTAGAATTTTGTGCGTTGATTGGAACGAAGATAGATTCCCCTTAGCTGTGTGTTGAAAATAAAACCTTCTTATTCTGCAGACAACAAAGGGGAGCTTCCACGAGGATGGAACTGGGTGGACGTAATTAAGGTAATGTGACTGTATTATATGCAGTATTGTGAAAATGCCATGTATGTACATTAAAAATAATTTGTACTTCTATCTGAAGAAAATTAATCTGACTTTTTTTCTTGCTTTTCTTCCTAACTTTGTTTGGATTTGACTGTGGTGTCTGATTCATTTCTATATGCGTTCAGCACGTAAGTATTTTCAAGTTATCTTTTTTTAACGTTAAAAAGATTTGCAAGAAATGGTAAGAACTGTTGCTCATTTTGGATTCTAATTTACATATTTCTCAAATGCTTTAAAATGCTTAGTTCTTCTGAATATTAGAGTCATAAGGACTTTGATTCCTCTTTGAACTTTGTTGGTTTAGTATTTTTTATTTATTGAGCAATTAAATTTTAATTCTATGATGAGAGGGCTTTGCTAGCCCAATGCACTGCAAATATTCTGTCTTCATATGGCAACAAAATGTAAAATAAAGCCAGTGGTGCTGCCAGGTTCTGGAGGGTGATGGATAAATAAGCAGAAAATGGGATCTGTCCCAAGTGGGAGCACCTTGCTGTCTCCTATAAGCCTGAGTATTCTCTGCCGCAACTCCTACAGTGAATAAACCTTTTCTGCTTGCTCCCTCAGCATTGATTTCTTCCTCCCTCTTGTCTTTGCTGATCCAGTGGAAATCAGCATAGCTGCTTGACTATTTTGAAAGCAAGCTATTTTGGTTTATGCAACTATAAGTAATTCTCGGTGTAAGACAGAACACCAGTTCCAACTGTTAAATAAGAGCAAGTAAATGGTGATGACAGTTTTGGGCAGAGTCCTTCTGAGTTCAAAGCGGCTGTTCGTAGTGGATGTCTTGGATTCTAGATAGATTTCACAATAGATGCACAACATTGAAAAATTATAAACTTAGCTTCAAAGAGGAGAGAAATAGTACGTTAATGCCTTATTTTCTATTGTGTAAATTTCTATATGGGAATTGTCTCAGATGCGTGGAGGTACTTTTCCCATTACTTCATCTTTTTTATTTTGGAGAGCTGGTGACAGTGTCTTCAAATTAAATAGAAAAAGTACCATGAGGTTTTTCTGGGGGTTTGTGGTGTTGTTTTTTTAAAATCAACTTTCACATTTGGGAAATAGGCTTATTTAGTGTCTAAGCTTAAGAAATAATTTTTGGTGCTTTTTAGTCTCTTGGTACAGTAGCACAATCAGTCTGTATTATTAATTAAATATACATGTGTTCTATGTAAGATGGAGATAATGTTGTTCTTGTTTCCTAATAAATGGAATGGCAGTCTAAACTTTGAATACTTTCTTTTTGTGTCTCTTTTATAGTTAAGCAAAACTGGTTCTAAAGATGATGAATAAAGGACTTTGGTACAAGGAAACTCCACCTTTTAATACAGTGCAATTTTGGGTCACCATCTTTCTCTTAATAACTTTCGTATTTGTTGAAGTAAACATTTTATAAAGCTCAGTTTCCTAACTCGCAAATCTAGTCACACAAGTTTATCTAGAGACTATGTGGTCTTCTTTGGAAAACAAAACAAACAAACTTGCCTTAAATGAAGGTTACAATGTGGCAAAAGAGAGAGCCAATGTGGTGAAGTGAATAGTGCTATATGCAGTGTTTATTAATTTATATTTTATTCTGTAGTAAAATCCTGTTATAGTGAATCCAATGACGCTGTAACATTTCCTGATGTTCTTATTCCAATTGAAGAAAAAAAGCACTATAACAGTGATTGGTCACTTGACAGCATAATTCAAAATAAATTATTCCATGGAAACAAGACCTTTGTCATTTGTTTATCTAACATGAATGTAGAAGGAAAACATAAAAATTGTTACATTGCAATACAGACTAGAGCTTGTGGTCCCGTTTTCACTAGTTACTGGCTGACATAGTAAATACTAGCGAAAGCAAGGCCAAATAGTCTAGTCTGCTCCAAAATGAGTGGCTACAGCAGGAGTATGTCGCCTTTATTCTCTGTGGTATCCATCTGTTAGTCTTTCTTCAGTATGCATTTTTACAGAAGGCTGGATGTCTGAGGGAAAAGTGCTTTCTTGCATGTGTCTCAATGAGTTTTGAGATTTTGTAGCTCTTTCATTGGAGAAGTGGGAATTCCTTGGAGGGGTTTGCTGACTGAGTGGTGGGACAGTGGCAAGAAGGCAGCATTCTGCCAAATGTGTTGGGAAAACTTTTTTTTTTCCCTAACCTGCTCTCTCGTATCAGGAAGAGAAGTCATCTTTACTCTATGAACGGTTACTGAATACAAGATGCCTTAATGTCGTTTATTATTTTTGTTCGGTTTGAGATGAACTTTAATAAATGCCTATTTATCTGCTGTGGTATGTGTTTGTTTTTGTTTTTTTAAATTGCATATTGCCTACTGCACTTCTAGGGCCAAGTTTGAGTTTGCAAAGGATTTTCTATTACAAAGAAAGCATTCTTAAAAATTGGTGGAAGAGTTAGATCCTCCCTCTTTCAGTATATGTTTACATGTTCTTCAGGGTAGCTGTGTTTGTTATTAATATGAAGGTCAGTCATCCCACTGAGAGTCCTAGGGGAATATCTGTCATGTTCAGTGCACGCGGGTGTTTCTTTGGAAGAGTGCACTTCACTGCACATGCTAGGTATGGCATTTGGTGAGAGGGGTGTTGGATGCTCTGATCAGTGGTGCCAAGAGCCTTTGTAGCCAACGGAGAGGCTGGGGTATGTGACTGTCGTATTAGGACTTCAGTTGATGGAGTGGAAGTGTTTATGCTACTGTCTGTGTCAGGAGAGCTTATGTGCCACATACGTTATTATAGTTCTCTCAAATTATTTCTCTCCTACCAAAGGAGGATACACTGAATATATTACAAAATGACTGCTTGTGTTCATACATACATAAAAAAAAAGTTACGTGAAATGTTGTGGCTGCAGGTGAAGAAAAAAATTGAATTTGTTCTGTGGTTTTCACTCTTCTGAAGAGTCTGTGAAGAGGTCTGAAAGAAATATGGTCTGTACTGCTGTCATCCAACACAAAGCTGTAGTTTTTACTGAAACACTCGAGTTACCATCAGTAAATGTTTGTGCTTCCTGAGTAAGGAATATACTATTAATTCTTAAAGAAATCTTATTTTCAGAAAGTCATGATTTCTTTTTGAACTCGACTCACATTTAGTAAAAGCCAATAAAGTACACAAAGTAGGACTTTTTCCACATGATGCAATCTTGCCTTTGATATAAACTGGAGGCTTGTGGCTGCAATCGGCGCAAGAGTGTCTGGCAGGGAGTAACACTGCAGGGAGAAGTTGCTCTGCTAGTACACAGTGAGCCGGTAACCGGGAAGGGCATTTAGCTGTAGTCTCTGCCAGCATCAGAATGGGCAGGACTTTCCCTATTCACAACATCTCCAAGGGGAACTGACTTGTCTTTGCTAGTATCCTTGGTGTGTAAATCAAGTTGCCATGACAATTCATCTGAATAGATTAGTTAGGGAATGTGGGGGAAGGACAAATAAGAACCACATCTCCTTGCTTTTATAGCGTTACTGTGTGTAACAGCAAACTTGTTAACCTTGTGAAACGCCTGATTTTTCAGCTCCTAGGCTGCCTGTAAATCACACACTCTTGTGAAGATATCTGACCAATCTCCTCTGGTGTTTGTTTGGAAGTCTACTTTCAAGGGAAATATTTGGCATTGGGAATTTTTGTATCAGTTCTTTGCTTCTGTGTCAATTTTAAAAGGTAACTTGTGTCATTAAACCATTTTCTTGTTTGACATGATGGTTGAAAGGGGGTCGTTTCAAGAATCTAAGGTACTTGATGTTATGGAGAGGCCTGAGTGCTGACAACTGAGAGGAGGGAAAATGTAATGATTGTGATCAAGAAAGGCACAACTGTAAATAGAGATCATGACTACTGAGGGAATTCCAAACACTGTTGAAAAATACACTACCACCTTTTTTTAAGTAAGAACCCACTGGCAGTGGAAAAATAGTGGTTTATGCTTTATTTCAGTAAGGCAAGAGCTTCTTAATTGTAGGGCTACACCACCTATTGAAATTCATGGGTTTTGCAGTAAAGCTTTGGTTGGCTTGAGAAGACAAGTGTCAATGCTAGTAACAGTAAAGTGAAAGTAGCAAGTGTCCAAAATACAGGATGATTAAAAAGGAATTTGTTGGTTTACAAAACTTTCCATACTGCATGTATACTAATTGAAAGGGCTTTTTAAAAAGTTTTTTATCTATAGTGTTGTTGCAGTAACCACTTGGAAGTCTCATCTGATCAAGCATAGCTTAGTTTTTTCCCTTTTTCAAATTTGTCTCTGAGAATCTTTCCTCAGGATGAATTTGGTGCAGAAAATTGAGGTGGCAATACCAATGCTTAAATGAAGTTTAGGGGTTTTTTTAACTAAAATTTAACTTAAAATATTTTTTTCTCTTCAGTCTTTTAGTACCTATTTGAATTGCTTAATATTCCTAATGCTTTTTAAAATTAATTTCAAGCTGTGCATTTTTTATTTCCAAACTTTTCTCAGCAGGTTATAATTTTGTGGTTGGTTTGCTTGCTGTTGACATGGGGAATCTCTCTCTCCACACCCCCCACATCCCCTTTTTTTTTTCCCCGTCTGTCACTCCTTATGGTGCCCTGGAGCACATCACTAGGCAGCGCACCTTCCAGCAGGTTTTGCTATAAAATGATTTGGTATCTCTGAAACACAGTAACCTCTTCTCCAAAATCTGTCCAGCTCTTTCTGTTGTTGATACAGATATTGGAAATAAAAAAAAAAAAAAAAAAAAAAAAAAATAGTGGGGTGCAAGAACTGTCACTATCTCACTGGTATTTTATACTTTATTTGGGATGAAACTTCGAAGAAGTCTTTAATTGTATTTACATGATGTTAAATACAAATTCATTCAGTGCTGTTAGTACCAAGACCAAAGATGCTCCGTTGCACTGTAAGGTATGGAGTCCCAGTAAATAATGCAGACTGCCTTTAAGTTTGTTGGGTGGAGAGGTGACAGCTGTGATCCGTCAGCAGTGTGTACCTAGCATATCCTCCTCACCCCCTTGGTCAGCCTGGCACAGCTGATGCTGAAATCAAGGCTGCTAATGTCTGCAGTACCGCTGCACATATGCGGGGTAGATAGATAAAGCATACCTGACTGATGAGTGATTGATGAATAAAACAACAGCAGGTTCTTTTTGGTGAGTAAAAGAACAGCAGGAAAAAAGCCAGCATTTCTTCATATAGGACCTTTGGTAGAAGCGCAAATGTAGGGAGACTATACTCCTTTCATCTGAGGCAATACAAGTGGGTTTGGGTTATACTGTGAACTTTGTGCTGTGAAAATCATTGAACTGGTATGAACCAGAAGTAGTTCCCCTTTGGAAATTGTTTCCTTCAACTATGTTTTGCAGCTTTTAGTACAGCACCCTAAGCATTTGTAGCTAACAGCAGAATGAAGGGGGGAGGAAATGCTCATTCAGCAGAGAAAATAACAGAAGGCCGAGAATTCTGGGTGGGTTGGAGGAGGAAGTGGAAGGGGAAGAACATCCTTGTACACAAAACTAGAGAAGCGTAGGGGATAAATCTTCATTGCTGCAGGACAATACAACAAAACAAAAACTAAGTTTATGGTTGCAGAGCTGGCATGAGGTTGGGTTATAGTAAAAGAAAAGAGGATTGTAGATCTTCTGTCACTGTCACCTATTCTTTCACTGACGTGGATGGCTTCATCTCAGAATGGGGCTGCTCCATGGTTGTGAGAATTTCTGTTTGTCTGACTGTTATGCTTCCTGTTACTCTCTTTCTGAGCCCATGGAAGCAACCTCTGAAAGTCTGGTGTAGTCTCAGAAATAAGTTAAGACAAAACATACTGCCTAGGCACTGGAAAATCATGTTAGAATATTTGGTGTGGGTAAAAGAAAGAATTAACTGTTTCTCTTCTCTCCTTCATTCAGAGCAAAGTGAAGAGTGACTCCAAATGGCTGAATTACTCAAGACATGAATTACACAAGAAATGAGAATCTGTATCCAGACACCAGTGTCCTATGTCAGACTGAAAGTTTGTCCGTCTAGTTTGAAGTTTTACATAGCTATCCCTTGCTACTGTGTCTGGGCATCCATGCTTGTGGTTCCTACAGTAGTATATGTTTTAAGTATTCATGTTTACAGTATAGCAGAAGTTTGAAAACTCTTACTGTGATTGCCTACTGCAAGTTGCTTATGTTGTGCAATGGGATAAGGTCACAGCAATGAGAGGGAAATCCAAACTATAACTGCACAGCCTTAGTGGAGAGGAATGGGGTTGTGTGGGTGTATCTGAGGGCGTAATTTCTTCTGTAGTATCTTTATTACTGGTAATGATCAGTGAAAGGGAAAATTCAGTCTAGGATGAGATTGGAAGATACCATTCAAGAAAAGATAATCTTTTCCTTCTCAAACAATTATCTGTTACAGTGTCACTGAGAGGCAATAAACATAGTCTTGTACAGAGTCACTCTTCAGAGCAGGATCTTACTTTAAATCAAGTAAGTGTCTCTGTCAGTAATGGATTTTATGATTTCCTGCAGGAGAAACAACTGTGAAGAAAGCATTACTATCTAAAGAGCTGCTGTCTTCACCGTAGGGAACCATTTGATCTCTACTTACAGGGAAAATTATGGTTCAACTGACCTTGGAGAGAGATATTTTATAATAGTACAAGGAAAACGTAGCAGCTCATTGATAAAAAGTACATAGCCTCTATAGATTGTTAACAAATTTGCACACCATTATCAGTTTTATATTTTTCTCTGAAGATCAGCACTGGAATATCACCAGGTTTTAGTTAACTGGCATACAGCATGATTATGATTTCTTTTTTCCTTTTTCTCCTCATGCCATATGTCTTTAGATGATATAAGTACAGGATGTAGTATAGAAATTTGTTTCCTAGATTAAAATACTGCTAAAGTTACAAATCCACTCAAAGGAAGGAAATCAATCTTACTCAGAAGTAAGGGTGTGCCAAAGTTAAAGCTGCCTATGTCGTGTTTATAAGAAAATGAAAGCATAGGAAGATTTTCTTTCTGTGACTACATGTTTTTTGGGTTTTGTTTGTGGGATTTTTTCCCCCTGGTAGTGTCCAAGCACAAGCTTAGTACTTTGCTTCCTAGTTAGTTGGAAACCAGTACAAAACCCTGAGTTTTAGTATGCTCCTAAATCTGAAAAGGGAAGTTTTCACTTTGTAGAAGTAAGTAAAGTAACAGAACTGTTCCTGGAACAAAGTGGACAATTGAAACGGGACGACCAGGTATAGAGGTAAATGAATTTGCTTTAGTAAAACTGACAGGATCTGAGTGGCTTTAG